TCAAAAATTACAAGATGCCAAAACTAATAATGAGTCAGCAGTTGAAGCCATCACCTATAAAAATTTTAGGAACAACAGGCTAACCACTGCTATCCAAGCTGAAAAATACTAAATTTGTCTTAAGTTATTAAAAATTTGTATATTGTTAAAGATATTGATGATAGAAATAAATATAAAGGTAATGATATAAAAGCACACTTAGAGTTATCCAAATCTATAAAATATTTTCAAGAACTAGTTCTAAAAATGGCTCAGATTTTTGATAATATAGATCCATTCTGATATGCTAAAAAAACTAGATTGAAAACTTTTAGATCGAAACTTGGCTTATTGAATTCAGCACTTTATATAACTTATAAATTAAAATTAAAGATACTATAATTTAATAGATGTATTCAATAAGGAATATATACCAGAATTACCACTATATCAAATAGGTAAAGAACAATTCTATAAAAATTATGAAGATATATATTATGGGTATAGTAAACTCTTACCCAATAAAATAGAAATGTCATCTAGTTTTAATATACAATTGCATCAAGAATTGTTTGATATCTGTTAATATATATATTTATTTAATAATAATCTATGATATATCTTACAAAGAGGTTTTTTGTAATATCTAAAAACAATATTTAATAAAATTTTAGCTATTTTTCTATTCTCAAATTTAATTTTAAATATGAAAGTAAAAATAGAATAATACAACCACTTTGTGAATCAAAATACTTTGTAATTGGTTATTAGTTAGAGAGACCAATTTATATAAAAAACTAGCAAAGAGGCAATATTGTGCTTCTCATATATTTAAGATTCGAAAGGATATAATAATTACCCAACTATGTAAAGAATATGAGTGAGAAACTAAATTGAGTCTTCAGCTTTGTGTCCCATATAATCAAGATAGGGAAAGAGCATATAAATATTATAAACAGAAGTGTGAAAGAGAACTCTGTATGCTTAGTTTCTGAATATGCAAAGCAATTTACTAAATAAGTATTATCATTTTATTTTTTCTACACAATCCAGGTCTTTGAAAAACAATCAATTAAACTTATTATTTTCATAAGTAACAATCAACTATTATTATTTTCATAACTAGTAACTTTTAATGAAAATACACCAAAAAGTAGTCAACTTATTAATCAAGAGAGAAATCGATTACAACAGATCAATATTCTGCAAACTAATACATAATAGTTTTAGATATGTAAAAGATTTAGCAAAATTTCTACAATTACCAGATTATATAGATTATTATTATCCTGAGCAGATTAGATTCATGAATGCTTTGTCCTATCTAGCTATGATACCTCCAATTGCTATAATAGAAAGCAGATCTGATATTTATAAAAAATAGTTTATAAGTATAAATAAATATCAGAATATATTTCAAGTATTATAAAAAAAAATATAATAATAATAAACTGATATATTATATAGCCTGTGTTGTTACAACTTGAAGCTATAAATTTTTTCATTATATCCTATATATTAATAAATTTCAAATCAACAGATCTGATTCAAGGTATTGACATCATATATCATATATCTGGCATATATTGATTATTTTTTCAGGACCTCTTATTTTAAAAAATTGGCACTTATATACCTAAGTAATGCTATATCTTCTTTGATACCTTCTATATTTTTAGTTATCTTATTACATGAAGCTATCAATTTCAAAACCTTTGTTCGATCTTATACCTTATTTATATCTATTTTTTGATAGAATTATCCCAACCACAATTCATTTAATTTTTGGATATATTATATATAAAAGCAGAGTAATTAATTTGGATTTGAAAAAATAAGTAGGTTAATGTATAATCACAATCTACTTATTAATATATTATTTACATACTTATTATAAGAACTGTCTAAAAAACTAGAAAACCCAAAACCAATAACTTCACTTCTATTTTAGATCAGTTCCTAAATAAATATAACCTATCAGCTGAATCAAACCTGCTTCAATTATATGTTTATGCTAATAAGCTTAGTACTATGCTACCAGATTGGAAAGCTCGTAAAGATGTAAAAGAAACTCTTTACTGATGTCTATTTAAAAACAATCAAATAGAAGCTCTTGTACTAGACAAAAGAGAAAAATTTTACTATTAAGGAAAGAGCTAATATTGTACAAAAACTGAAGATGTGTAGAATATTTAATTACATGCTTTAAACTTAGTTGTGCTAAAAAATAATATAGATGAAGCAATTGTGACAGCCAGTTTTTACATTTTGCAATTTCGTAAAAAGTTAATAGAAGCTGGGTTGGTTCTAAACAATTTAATATATATGCCAAATTGTCAGAAGTTACTTGAGTTTCTAACAAAATTCAGAAAGAACAGACTAAGTAAGATGTAGCCAATAATCAGTTAAAAATTCTACTATATTTCTCTTTAGAAAAAAGACTTAAAAGAATTCAGAACATAAATACTACCAAAGATCTCTCTATACAAGATCTTGTAGATATAATAATGATATTATATATGAAGCTGGCTGAAGTATCTAGTCTTCAAATCAATTACTACAAAATTAACTCTTCCAATCCTTTGGCATGGCATAAAATAGTTATTCTTGGTATTGTACTAAATATGCTAAAAATAAAGGAGAAAATAAAGATAATCCAGAGCCTCACCTATTTTTTTCCATGGAAAAGAATCCAGAATATGCAAGAATACTACTCATTTGGATTAAAGAAGCTATAAAAACTAAAAGGTTGAGTGATCACACATTTAGTAAAAATGGAAAGCAGAACACTAGAACATTTAGTGAATTCCTAAAGCCTTATAAAATCATACCTAAAATATTAAGAAAAATAGGAGAAAAGCATGCTTGCAGAGTTTACAATAGTCCAAACTCAACTCTTGATCTTCTTAACAAAATAGTATTGAGGCATAAGATTGTTCATCTAGATGCAGGAAAAAATTATGCTATAGGCAATACAGAATTAGAAGAGTCTGTCTTTAAACCAGAAACAAGTGATTGTCCAAAACTCCAAATACAAATTTCTTCACCTATGCTCTAGTCTAGGAATAGCGATCCTCAATGCCTAGCTAAAAGAAAGTCTCAGACAGTGTAAATAGATTCAATGTTAGCTGAAATTGATGCAATATTAGCTGAAATTCAGAAATAAATATCAGAAGACAAGTGGGTCAGGAGCAGTAATTGCTAATTGTTCTGAGATTACAATTGAGTAATCTATTTTGTAATATAGATAAAAAAGTGTCTATGTGAAATAAAAATCTATAAAGTTTATCAATTAAATTATTATTTCTATTTTTATTCAATTAATAAATCAAATCATCATAATTACTACTAGATTGGTCAGTTATTAGCTTATATTTATTAAATAAAAAGCTTTAGTTAATAAAATCTGAATATAAACTTGCTCAATATTCAAGGCTAAAAGAGTTATTGCTTCACAATAAATATTTTTAAAGAATAGACAAAAAATAATTATGCTCAATACCGGTTAACTAAATATAGTTTAAACTATATCAATAATTTAAAAACACCAGAAGCTTGGTTATGATTTACAAAGTATCATCTACCCAAATATATATATAGATATTTATTAATATTAGAATATGATATTAATAGAAAAAATTATTAAAAAAACTTTGTATTCCATATAAAAAACAATTTAATCAGAAATGAATCCATAGCTAATAACTCTGAATTTAGAGAATTTTTAATCCAAGTAGTATATTTTAAAACTTTGTATATAAAAAATCAATCAGCTATTATTATTTAGTGAATATATTGTTTATAGAAAAATGAATAAATTTAGCTAAAATAATCTAGTGAGTAGTGAGGTAATTTGGAAGATTTTTAACACAGATAAAATAGTGTTAATGTGAAATAAAAATCTATGAAGTGTATGCCCTTTTCTTCATGATTGTCATTAAAGATCTAGTGATCTTGGCTTATACTAATTAATTCATGAATGAACAGATTACCAAATCTGAAATTAGTATCTAAAATTATTTTTTTAGTTATGAAGAATATACTATAAAATAAGCTAAGTATAAGAGATTTTGTTATATAAAACTTATCTGATTATAATTGAAATATGTCTAGCACTTCTACTTCCACACCATCTACTCCTATTAATAATATCAAAAATCACACATATAGTACAGGTTTTGCATACCAATTTCGAACACCTGAGCAACCAAATTTGAACATCTGAGTAATCAAATTCGAACATCTGAGCAATCAAATTCAAATATCTAAGCAATCAAATTCAAACATAGTAGCAATCAAATTCAAACATAGAAACAATCAAATTTGAACATTTAACTAATCAAATTCAGACATTTTAGCTATCAAATTTGGACATCTTAGCAATCAAATTTGAACAGAAATATCTTGTGATTTAGTAGTCTAAATTACATAATTTTGATACCATTTAACTTATCTTAACAAGATAAATTGAATAGTACCAAAATTATATGATTTGGATCACTATATTATGAGATATTGCTATTCAAATTTGATTGCTAAGATATCCAAATTTGATTGCTAGAATGTCTGAATTTGATTGGTTAAATGTTCAAATTTGATTGCTACTATATTTGAATTTGATTGTTACTATGTTTAAATTTGATTGCTACTATGTTTGAATTTGATTGTTACTATGTTTGAATTTGATTGCTCAGATGTTCGAATTTGGTTGCTCAGGTGTTTGAAATTGGTATACATAACCTGTATTTTAAAATCTTTAAAAGATAGTATTGTTAAGAGTAAAAAAATTCCAAATCTAAATAATTGTTCAGAATGTAAAAAAGATATTATTTTGCATTCTCTTAAAAGCATTTACAATACTATCTTGTGAACATATATTTTATAGACTTTGTATTAAAAAAAAACTTTTACTTACAATTTCAAATACATGTCCACTTTTTGTTTGTAGTAAAGAGGTTGAAATTATCAAAACAGAGTATAAAAGGGGTTCTGAATCAAGTATATCATCAGTAGTTAGAAGGATGGAAAAACATAGTATCCAAGCTCACGATTTGCCAAAAATTATAAAAGAAGAAATGTTGGATGTAGATGATAATGAAGACAGTAAGAGTAATCATCCAACAGACCAAAGCATTATCTCTTTAGAAAAAGAATCATATAAAAAACCTAGTAAAGATGCCTCTGAAAATAAATTATCTAATAAGAAAGTAAAGACTAAAGACAGAAATGTATCCATGTTAAAAAAAACTTATTAAGAAGCTGAAATCACCAAGCTCTTCAACAAGTAGTACTACTTCTCAAGCTGAATCTATCACAAGCCCAAGTAATTTTTTCAATTTATATAATGCAATTGTTAAGGCTGAAGAACGAATTGAAAGTGTGAATCAAAAAATTATTATATGCTATTTTGCCTTTAGAAAAAAGCTTAAGAAAAGGTTAGGTGAGTTTATGAAAGCTAATAAAGAGCTTAGATCTCAAAGAAAACTTTATGAAGAAGTTGAAAAACAGCTCCCATCTAACCTTTCGAAAAATGCAGTTGAGAAAAGAATAGAAAGAACAAGAAAAATTTATGATCTTTTTAGTAGCATAGATAAGAATAAAATATAACAGATAAGATCTTATTTGGCATTGAAAATTTCTAAATTAAGTTAAGACGAAATCGATGCTATAGAAGAGAAGTTTGAATAAGATTGTCTCTACTGCACCACAATCATGTAACTTTGGTTGACTAATCGGTCAGTAAAACTAGAACAGCCAAGATATATAAAATGCTAAATTATTTTAAAAAATTGTTTTAACAGAAGGTATTAATTATTTCAAAAATTATATAGTTTTTTGTTTGCAGAATCTGTTAAAAGATAAATTTGGTTACAAAAATTCGCTTGCAAAATAAAATTATAACCATACCAGTCTTATTGTATACTAGGAAATCAGGATCTGATAAACGTCCGAAGCATGCACTGTTACCCTGACCGACGATCATCACGGAACCCATACTATCTCGAATTTCATTGGTAGTTTCCGCCGGACGTTGCATAGATGTGCATCAATTTTGCTCAGACCGTTAAGTCCTCGCTACGCTTCGGACAATAATTATACAATATATTTTTTATTTTATAATTAATTTTATATTTAATATCTTATGCTAGTATTATAAAGCTAGTTAACATTAGAATATAATTAAAATTTATAATATATTTTAAAAAGTTATATAAAATTTTGTAAATTATTATAAAATTAGAGACAATTTATATATCGCACATGCGCTGTTTCCGCATCCCTGCAGATCATAAAATCAAAACAACCAGTTTTTTCGTTAGTTAAGGTTAGGGTGAGGTTAGAGTAGTTTATGGGCTTGAAGTAACGTTTTATAGTAAAATTTTAAGAAAAATTTTTTTTGTTAGAACACGAAGAGTAGTTTCATATATGAAGTTTTGTGTTATAAACGATTTTTGATAAAACGAACGTTTGTTTTAAATTTTTCTAATTGTGCTACGTTACACCTGATCTTAAAATTTGATTGGTCGATCATGTGAGAGGCGGTAAATTAATGACATCGCTGGGTGCGGTGAATAAATGTACTCTAAAAAATTTTATAAAATTAATTTTTTATATTTATTTATTTATTTATTTTATTTTTTTTATTATAAAATTTTAATATTCAAATACTTTATTATTTTTAATACTGGTTTTGTTTAAAGTTAAAGATATAAAAGTTGTGAATATTATTGCTATAACAATATATAAATATTTTAAGGTTTATAAAAGAAGAACTTAATATACTTAGAATTGTTAAAGTTATATTTGTTTGTTAAAGTTTATCAAAAGAGTTATATTTGTTTATTAACATATTGTTAAAAAAGAAATTATATTTGTTTATTAAATAGTTGTCTTTTTTTTGTTATTGTTTGCTAAAGATATAGCAATAATAAAATAAACAAAAATAGTTTGCTTAAATAATAATCACAATTATTATTATATATATATTTATTCCTTATACCTATAATAAAATTTGAAAAAAATTCTAATATTTTCAAAATTTATTAAAATAACTCTATTATATAACAAAAATAAAAATGTTTCTCTTATAATTTTACTTTAGGCTAACTCTAACTCTAACTCTAAATTTAATCCTAATATATTATCATAATCAAGGTTGTTTATTTTTTTTTTTTTGATATGTCCTGCCACTGTTTTATTAAGATAGTAACCAAGCAAAATTACAAGAATTTAACTATAGCTAATTCTTCTTTAATCGCAACAAGTAAATCACTCAGCTTAAAGCCTAGATGTGACATCGCCTAGTGGCTATTTGCCTTCCTCTGGGTCTCTAACTTCCTAGAGGTATAAATTCTTCGATCATTAGCCAGTGCTACATACCTATCAGTATCAACTTTTCTATGAAATACAGACACAAAACAAAGGGCAAGAAAAAAAGAGGTAATATCTTGGCATTCAGATTCAATCCACCTAAACAAATAAAACCAAAAAACATATAAAAGAAAAACAAAATAAAAGAAAAGAAAACAAAGATAGCACTATTAAACCCATGCCAAATTGTAAAAATTATATAGACTACTAAATAATCTAGTTTAAACTCTACGCTAGTTACTTATTGTCTATATTGAGATATATAAAATATCTATTCTTGAGTAGAGGCCAAGTCAGAAATTTCTCTTGCGGTCTCACTAAGTTTAGTGCAATATCCTGCAACATATTCTCGTACTCATGCTTGTCTCTGGGCAAAGTTAAGCAACCTACACTTTTTAGTTTCTGCAGATCTCAGTATAAACACCATAACCTCTTGTAGTAATTGATGCAATGCTATTATCCAAAAGTAGACACATACTCCTGTATATGACTTTTCTTTTTTAGCAGTGATTGTTGTTATCGATTAATCGATGGGAGTACACTATTTTTTCTACTTTTTGGTGAAAATTTTGAAAAGTGTAAAAAGTAGAGTTTGGTGTAGAGTTTTGGCTTGCAGGTATTCTTAAACTTCGGTAGAGAATGTGTTGAAAACTCGCTTGTTATTCTCCTTAAACCAACTATCTTTAATTTCGTCAGCAGAAGCAGAGCTTCTATTAAAATTTTCTGTACAAGGGCACCACCTTCTCGCCAGTTATCTTGTACAAGAATGCTTTTAACTTGCATAATAAATATACAGAGGAGTCTGGGAGAATAAAAACAAAAATCTTGACCTTTGTAAAAACCGTTATTATAGTTGTCTCTTCTACTTTTCTCCAACAAGTTTCTGTTTTCGTTAGCTGTAAGTTTGGTACGAGTGATTGTTAGAGAAAGTTGATTTTTGTGCCCTACCAAGGTCGTTTATTATATTTAAAAAAAATGAATAATTCACCTAGATAATTAATAAATTATTTCTATTATTATAATTAATTGTTATAATTGAATATTATCTTAATTATTATCAGATCACATTAATAAATTGCTTGAGAATAACTTAAGATAAGATTCTAACAAGTCAAAATTCTAATTAAAACAAGGTTAAAAACCTAACTAAAACAGAATTTTAACAAGCCAGAATCCTAATATTCAAAATAATAAATAGTTAAAATCCTGACTAATATAGGATCTTGATAGTTTAAAATCTTAAAATAATTAAGATTCCAAATAGCCAAAATTTTAAATAACCAAAATTTTAAATATCAAGATCTAACTAAGACAGAATTTCTACTATTCAAGATTCTGACTAAAGCAGGATCTTAACTGTGACAGAATCTTAACTAAAACAAGATATTAGCATTTTATGAAAATTAGCTAAATGATTTGTTAGCCAATTTGATCAAGTAATTGATCAAGTTGATATATAAGACCCACAGCAAAAAGGGACAATGGGCCAACCAATTAGATTTTGAGATTTTATAATAATAATTTGCTTATAAGTTTTATCTTTCTAAAAATATTTATAGTTTGTAAAATATACTAATAAAAAGGGTTTCAATTTAAATTTTTTTTGTTGTTACTATATTAGAATCAACCAACCTAAAAAATTTCACTAGCAATCAGATTTCAAGATCAGATGTGATGCAGAAGAAATACGAAAAAAATCAAAACAAACCAAAAACCCACTTATAACTCAAAATTTTATCTATAAAATCACCTGCATACTAACAAAAAGTTTTCTTGTGAAATTTTAGTACTATTAAAGCTCTTTCTAACCTAGATTAATAGCAAAACCTAATCCTCATTTAATAGCAAAATTTTTTTAGCGAAATTTTTTAGGTTGTTAATGCTAGATCAGTTTCTTAGTCAGGATTCTGTCTTAGTCAGGATCTTGACTTTTGGGATTTTGGCTATTTGAGATTTTGACTATTCAGGATCTTGACCATTTTGGGATTCTGTCTTAGTCAGATTTTAATCTTCATGATTTTTGATAGTTAGAATTTTGACTATTCAGGATTTTGAATGTCAGGATCTTGACTTGTTGAAAATTTGTTTTAGTTGGAATTTTGATTTGTTGAGATTCTGAAAAACACAAACATCACCAATAATCAAGGGGCAGTTACATTATTTCTCATCCATTTAGTTTTTATCAGATCTGATGCAATTCTTACAATATTAATGATATAATTTATTGTTTTTCTACCATATACAATCAACTCTAGATATAACAACTTTTTTTAACTTTTTATAACAAACTTTTTCAATAAACTTACTTATAATGAACTTTTTCAGCAAAAATTGTTATAACAAACTTTTTTAACAGATTTTTTTTATAATAAACTTTTTTAATTATTTCAACAAACTTTAACCTTTTTAACAAATTTCTTTTTTATTGAAATTTCTTATAATAAACTTTTTCAATGAATTATTTTTATTACAAACTTTTTCAACAAACTTTTATTATACTGAACTTTTTCAACAAACTTTTTTATATAAGTTTTTATAACTTTCTTAGAATGAATTTTTTAAAGCAATTTATTATAGAATTTAGTGTAGAAACAGTAATTACTAGTGTTTCTATGAACCTGAACTGAACTGAACTTTGATCAAGTTCAGGTTCAGGTTCAGTTCAGTCATGTTCAATATTGAACTTTTAAGTGAAGTTCATGTTCAGTTCAGTTCA